CTTCCGCACTCTTTTGTCTTTAAATGACCTGTGTAATGGATTCCTCTTGCGCTTGTTTTTTTTCGCTGGCATTTCTTCATGAAAGGTCCTATAGACTTTTCACCTAACTATAATAATTTAGAAATGGCAGCCTGTTGAAAAAAAAAACCTAAAAAGTCTCATAACTTTGTTAGCTTTGAAGTTCGGTGGACTTTATGTGCACCGATGGATAGGTCTCGTCGAGAGGAACAAGAAAGATCCTATAGACTTTTGACCTAAATGGACATTTGTTTCTATGATAAATATGCGTTCTTATTTCTCCTTCTCTACATATTTTATACATATTATAATAAAAAAACTACTTTTCAAACATTTTAAAACAATTTAATTCTTGAAATGTACGCCGTGCGTGCGAGTATCACGATGTCCGCTGTTCGAGGATTAATTAAATATTTAGTTCAATACCACCGACAAAATATTTATTAAATATAAAGATACATTTATTTAATACAAGAATCATTAATTTGATTCATGTCACAGTCAAAGTATTAAATTCAGTAAATGTATACGCTTTATTATTTGCTGTAATCAATGTATACGTTTTACTATAATAAATTTTACATGAATGTATACATTGATTAGTAAGTGTATACATTTACAAAAGTTTACATTTTGACTGTGACATATACATACATTAATTAAATTAATATCAATAAGAAATATATTTATTGCATTACTTATGAAATGATTGTTGTGGATAAATAGGGTTCTCCTCCGCAGAACAAAGGCAGCATTTTGTAATCATTTTAAAAAACTAAAATCAAAATTTAAATACAAATCAGGCTCTCGAAATTAAAAGACAATAATATAATATACGGACAATGAGAGCGTTAACACAGCGCGAGAATTGGTGTGCAATTTACGTATATAATAGTCGTATATAATAGTCAAATAATATTCACATATTATATTAAAATTGTACAATGACTATCGATACAAACTTATTTGAATGTTTCGGTTTTCTTCAAACCATTGTCAGCAAATTCGTAGATCATTATCATAGATGTTTTGACAAAATAGTTGGAAAATGTTGAAATTATGCTCTATGAGACCGAGGATGAGTATCTCCCTACTGTGTGGTTGGGAATTGCCCAATTTTTGTCTCTTCACTATTTAGCCAAGTGATTAACTGAAGAGTATAATAGGCATAATTATTATTTGCAATGTAAATGAATTCAATGTATGCTTATTTTACTCACTCTCCTTGGAAGGTGCGTTGTGCCGCTCCTGCTTACCTTCCGTAAGCGATCCGTAATTCGCTTATTATTTTCGCTTATAATTTAAAAATTAAGCTTTGTATAAAATTTTAGCACAATAAAATTGACTTAGAATTATATCATGAATGTGACATTTTAAGGATAAATATTTGTTTTGGGACAACCATGTGTGTACATGTGTAAATATATTTAGCGGTATCTGTTATGAAAAACATAACATGACTTCATCGTTATAAGTGAAAAATTTTCTATTTTAAAAGTCTCTGTATTTAAATTAATGATTTAAATCCTTCATAATATGGTGGAAGTAAAAAATTGAAATTAAAAAATTTTATAGAAAATGAACAATCAATACATTCATAACTTCTAATCAGAATATCAAGATGACATCAACCTTTTTTACAAAAAATGTCAAATATCGCGAAAGAGCCATTTTTGTACCTATATTAAATCTCAGTTGCTTTAAAAACCTGATGTGTTTGCTGAAAAAATTTGGCTTACGGCGTCACTTTCAATACTGAGAAGTCTATAAAAAAAGGCTTTATCTAGTTCAAAATAATTTCATGCTGTAAACTGTAGTATATAATCTTTTAAATCGTATAAAATATTTTGACTTTGACAATGATGTAAGGTAATCGGTAATATACTTTTATATGATAAAATTAAACAGTATTTCTCTGTATAGTGTTAGATCTAACGTTTCTTCATTTCTTGAATAAGCTGTAAAAAAGAACTATATTTTCTCACATGGTACAGATTTTTAATGTAACGAGTATTGTGTATCGCGTTTGATTGGTTACACGATCACGCATTATGTATGCCTCTGATTGGTTACGCGATAGGCGTTAAATTTGTGCCATGAGACGTTATTTTAATTAATATATGATTAACTATTTTAGCATGGATTCGTAAATTTTTTATTCATATTCATAACATAAATATCTTTAACAAGATTTTGTCATGAAGCGGTTACTTCGCGATAAGCATCAAAATGATAGGCAATAGCGCGGCGGGTACAAATGTGACGGAATCAGTACCGGCGGTGAAATCTGGTAACTCAGGCGCCGTGCCATTTTCGTAATATTGATAATTTTTAAAACCTACGCGTGATCGAATGAGACGGTAGTTGGGCATATTGATATCAACGCGATTATTTAAGAAGTTTTGCAGCATATTGGTGACGCACCAAAAATTGCCGTCTTCGTCAAATGCAAAACTGTCGGGCCACTGCGTCAATACGTGATCGCGCGATATAATTCGTTGACCGACGGTGAAGGATGGTGTATTCTTGGTATCCCACATAGCGATGGCATCGTCAGCTAGTAGACCGAAGTAAAGTACGCCAGTAGATGACATCGCCATGCCGTCCGTTTGCGAAGTCTTCCGTCCAAGTTCCTTCACGTATTGATCGATATTCGTCATATTGTTCTTCAGAGCAAATACTGGAACCGAATATAGATGGAAAGAAGATAAAGGCGAATAGTAGATTTGTCTGAAACAAATTCGATTGTCATCCGTTAGAAAATCATATTCAAATATAAATTTTCGATATAGAAAAATGTTATGTTTACAATACTACAATGTGTGACAAAGGATTTTAATAACACAATAATAACAGGCCGACAAAATTTAGGGCGGGAGGGTCTTGTGCTTTGAATTTTGAAAGATGTTTCCGTAAAATTTTGATGTGCTAAAAACGACTACTTTGTCCGTTTTTTCCATCATCCTCCATTTTTTAAATAATCACAAAAACAATTTTCTTCGGAAGTAGGTATAACAAAAACATAAAAAATGCGTAAAACTTACGGAAAAAATTTATTTTACAACCCAAAATTCTTAAAATGTGATATTACATGGCCGTCTTTGGCGCAATTTGTTAGCCGACTGGGGAGCTGAGGAGGGGTTCAAATGCAAGTCGTTGCATGATAACAGCGCAATCTGGTAACGTCGCATTTACGAAATATCGCAATGGTTCATAATGTACTATTGGTTCACTGTTGGACCACCTACCCTACACCATTTTACATACATCAATGTAATATTTTTAACTTAATGATATTTATTTATTTTTATCAGAACGTCGACCGTCAAGATATAAGGATACAGGATTTCATTATTATAGCTCACCGACGAACGATTATACTAATGAGGTTTTTGAATAGGCAGGAGCTCGATGAGCTCTGGGAGGATACCTACTCTAGAGACTCAAGAAGAGGAATTAGATAGAGTATGGATTTGATATCTTTAACCTACACTATTTATTCGGACTTCGTCCTTACGAAGTGGACAAGCCCAAAGAGGAGTTGTAGACTGGTAAGTATCACATTTTCCATTATTATATTTAAAATATTGTATTTAAATAATAATACAATATTTTTTTATTGTACATAAAAAAAACGAGGTAATAACGACTGTATCAGTAGTTTCTTTTTATATTATATGTTACATTATAATTATACATATATAGTTTTAGTATTATTGTAAGTTATATTGTAAGTTATATTATAAATTATATTACAAGTATTATTGTAAGGAGTTTTAGTATATTATTGTAATAAATATACTTTGGATCATATTATACACCATATATTAAAAAATGAATATTATATAAAATTACTTTGTGTTTAAAATAATTTATTCCTCTACACCATTCCTTCTTCATATCCCGTATATTGAATTAGTTGATAAGAAGGCGCTAATTACTAAAAAATATTATAATTAGACATTAGGTCATATGATTGATAAAATAGTAAAACAAATGGTGTCCGTTTAATAAAATCGAGAAGAAAAGACAATGTGGGAGAGAAATTACAACGGAAAGAAGAGAGAACGCGAATAATATGATAGGTACGGGACTGCAACGGGAAAAAGAGAGCGTGCGAATAATATAGTAAGCATGGACTGCAACGGAGGAAGAGAGAGAACATGAATAAGATGGTAAGTATAAGACCGCAATGGATTGGAGAGAGAGAACTGTATCTTATAATGGGTGGAAGAAAGAGAGAATAACATGGTGAGGCCCTGTCTCCCTCTACCGTGGATCTTGGTGGCGTTAACCTCCTCCCGTCCAGTGACGTCAGCCCCTCGTCAAGTGACGTCAGCCCCCTCCCAGTCTAGCGACGTATTTCTCCCACCCTCGGACTCACACATACATACCGCATATACGCATACGCACTAACACGTAGTGGATTAGAAATATCCCCATAGTATTCCTACTGACTGGCCTACAAGGTCATAACCTTGACAATATATCAAGGTCAAGGTTATCGGACCTCCTCTCGGGTTTCCCCTAAGGCGAACATTTACCGTATTTAGTTATAAGCTAATTTGGTCATAACCGCTTATTTATTTTGTGAATTTCATATTGCGATATTTTCCATTTTGTGAAAACATTATCATCCTTATAAAGTTTTTCTCTTGCGTTGTACTCCTTATATTTGTATGCTATTCGATCTGAATAAGAGATAAAGAATGCAACAATTTAATTTTGCAAATGTATTATTAGAATAAGGATGAGAAATGTAAAAAATTACAACAGATATGTTTCCATAACGGTCGAAGCTGGATCTTTAATGTTTAAAATAATTCAATGTGAAATTGAGCTTCAACCGTTATGGAAATATATCTGTTGTAATTTTTCATAGGCATTTAATTTCTAGTAATGATTGTGTTCTCACATATGCGGTCTAAAATAAAGATTCTTAATACTGTTTACATATATTTCCGATGACTTTGAAAAAGGAAATCTTACTAAGGATAAAGGCAAAAGGATACTAATCTGAAGGTCTACCTTACCTGTTGCGACTGCTTGCCGGTGAAAGCGCTATGCCATCCACGTGCACTGGATTGATTACATGCGTCTTTGCTACCATGAATCCGACCGCCTCCGACTTTGCTTTCATAGAATCGTGTCGGATCTTCCAAGAATTGTTATCTCTTAAAGAGTATACAATGATGCCGGGATCGGTAATATCAGTGTCGGTAATATATGCCATACCGCCATCCTCGTGATCGAGAACAATATCATTGAGGTACGCAGTTTTGCGGTGAACTACGTGCTCGGGGAACTGATAAGTACGAACAATCTTATTATTGTCCTCGAGATCAAGAATGACAAGACGCGGCGAGCAGTCGGCTTTGGATTCTCTGAGAGATGTAGGTCGACCAGTGTCAAGTATCCATATGTGACCCTTAGGATCGATTTCCATGCTGTGGACCAGTTGAAATGCCGTACAATCACCCAGTTTCTGCATATCCCAGGTGGGGAAGGCCTCCAATTCAGGCGCTGTAATGCCGTTAATCGGTTTTGCCGATGTCATACCCAGTGTCACCGGCACACCGTCTTTCCATCGTGGTAATGATAGATACATTTTATCCTTCCAAAATTTCACAGTGGTGATAAAATTATTTGCCGGTATGTAATCGCCGTGCCTTACAGCATATTGCCGTTCATCCTCCGATGGCCACTGGAAGTTAATCGACTTCCATTCAAAGATTACTTGAAACGGCTCGTGACATGATACTACGATGATTAGAAAAGTCAGTAACATCAATCGCTTCATAATCATTGAAGTCAATAATGTCTTTGATTTAATGTGAATATCACTAAAAATATCTTTTTCCCCTTCTTTCTTCGCAGATTCGATGCTACACGCCGCACAGCAATTTAAGCCTGTTTCAAGGGATTTAATAAGATGTAATATGTATAGAAATATTGATAATATCAAAACACTTTGATATTAAAAAAACACAGAATTTTAATGAAAGCATTTTACGACATATTTCTTTATAGTTTTAACTTGAAAGTAATAATTGTAAATTATCAAAATTTAAAGAAAATATAAATTAAACAATAAATAAATTTCTAAAATACTTTAAAATTCTGTTATTACAAACTTGTTTTCTAAAGTGTATAAAGTGTATTACGTACAGTAACACAAGCCTACAAAAAGGTAGGTTTTGTTTTTGATTAAAAAACGGTAGTATGGTGTAATCTCGAAGGTTTTTGATAAAACCAAATAGTCCTTTCCTCATCACGTTAAGTTCCTCAGATATTTTAATCTCAAAGTTCCAAAAAGGCCTATTTTAGACATTTTTAGGTTCGAGTATACCATAAACGTGATGCAATGGAGAAATATGGGTTGCGGAATCGAATTCAGCATGAAAACATTTACGAAAATCACTCATGAGATTTTATAAATGGGTCAACAATGGAATTGGAAAAAATTGATAGATGTTACAAGTATACTCACTGCACTTACAGAGAAGTTTCACAACAGTTCGAAACCGATTTGATTCTCCGTGAAATACATTGTAAAACACGAAAATCTAAAAGACACGTTTTTCTTATACATGCGCTAACTCATGTTTAAGGGGTTAAACACCTTTTTGAAAAAAACCGGTATTTTTCTTTCAAAACGAATATCGTCGGAAGTATAAAAGATAGAAAAAAATTTTTAAACAAAAGTACGGTTTCAAGAGTACTTTAAAGTCATAAAGAAAAAAAATTTTTTTATTTTTTTGTGTAACAAAATACTCCCACTACCCATAATTTTCTTAAATTTTCAAATTTTTTTTACCAAATTAAAGATTATTTTTTTACGAATTCAATCACGTGTAATAAAATTACATTACGACATTTCATTTTCGAGAATTAATTATTAATGCTTCCATATATACGCTATCCATGTTCATATGCCTAAATAATTATCGTCGGAACAATAAGAGATATGAAAAGATGTCTTAAGTAAAATTTGTATAGTTTTCTATATGCTTTATAACTGTACTTGTATGTACTATATACAATGTTCTATTTTAAAAGATCCATTCAAATATCTCAAAAACACAGCGTTAAATCGAAAAATGTTTCAAATAAAATTTTTTTACTTCGAGGGATACATAAAATGGGTTTAATTTTGGGCGGCGTTGTCGAGGTCAGGACAACAGGTAACTTTGAAATTTTAAATGGAATCCTCCATTTTTCATTACTTACATATTCTTGTAACTTACCTCGAGAGCTTTCAAAACACTATAATAAACTATTTTTTCATTAGGTATCTTTTGAGTTATAAGGCTTGCAAGTTACAACACGGCCGGTATTAGCATTACCCAACTTGTCCAACCGACGGTTAAAGCCTCTTAAATATTGTTCAGGATCACGACATGGATAACATTTATCAAGATCAAGGTTATTGGAGGTTATTCCTCTTATTTTCATTTTTACACTGAAAATTCATTTCTACGTAATGAAAATAAGAGGTATAACCTCCATTGGCTTTGATCCTGATAAATGTTATTCAAGTCGTGATCCTGAACAATATTCAGGAGGTTTTAACCATCGGTCGGACACCTTGGGTAATGCTAATGCCGGCGGTGCTGTAACTTGCAAGCCTTATAACCCGAAAAATACTTAATGAAAAAATATTTTCTTATAGCGTTTTGGAAAGCTCTCGTCCGACTCACATCATTACGACAAATCAAGATTGTAGATTTTTAAAAAAAATAAGATGAGATCACTTTTACATCAGTCAAATGATGCTAATTTTACATATGGACCACACACATCAAATATTAGGGAATATGGAAATAACCGATATGTTTTACTGGATACTGTAATCTGACCGAATACTCCGACTACTTATGTAATGTTATTTGTGTTTACATTGAAAATGACCCGATCGGCGTCTAAACGTTTGTACGAATACTAAATATTCTTTATATTGTAACTGGCTTGTAGCCCTTCTTTTATTTATTGATTTAGTATATTGTTTTGGAAAGCTCTTGGCATCAGCTATTAGATTTCGGAATCAAAAGTAAGGTGTTCCATTTAAAAAAGTCGACCATAACCTGACTTTGGCGACGCTACCCGAGGTCAAATTGATAAGATCAGTAAATAAACCTTTTTGAATCCTACAACTTTTGTCTGAAACACTTTTTTGTAAAACTTATATTTTCCGAGATATTCACATGTCCCGACCTTTATGGGACATCCTGTATATACACATATATACATATATATATATATATACAGGGTGGCCCAAGTAAAGTGTTACAAGCTAATAACTCTAAAAATATTTGTTCTATCAAAAAGTTGTTCATGAGAAAATTTCATATATTCGAGGGACCTTTCTAACTACGTAAACACAAAAATTCACCCACATCCCCCCTTGAAGAGGGGCGGGGAGTAACTTCAAAGTTTCAAATGGGACCCCTTGTAAAATGTTACATATTTGGATTCTATGGGGAAAAAGTAACTTTTGTCTGAAACATTTCTTTGGAAAATGCTCCTATCAAAAAGTTATGAACATTTAAACTTTTAGCCATTTTATTCATGATTGAACTCCATTGACACAAAGTTGTGTTCACGATACAATGAAAACGAAAACAACCTTGATGTTAACCAAAAGAAACATAAATACACACATTTATCGGGAAACGTAAATACAAATTTATTATGTATTTAGTTAGTTTTGAGCTGGTTTTCATGCTGTCAAGTTCGAAAATCATGGTTCATCTTGACGTGGAAGTTAATATGTTGTTAATTCTGGGAAAATGTAAGAAAAATTATCGACGTGCAGCGCAATTATTTTTAGAACGTTATAATATTCAAAAATCGTATATGGCATTTCTTCGTTTACATGTACATGGTCAATTAAGTGCAATTAAAAGACAAAAAGCAAATCCAGTAGTTAATGATGATAATTGTGCTAATATTCTCGCTGTAGTTGAAATAAATTCACATGTCAGTCAACGCGAATTAGCAAACACGTCTGGAGTTGGACGGTCTTCAATACAGCGGATTTTGAAAAAACAAAAATTTTATCCGTATCATTTGATTTTGACTTAGGAACTTTTGGAAACCGATTATGAACATTGTGTAATATTTTGCGAGTGGATGCGTGATGCCATGATAAATGATTCATTTTTGCAAAATATTCTTTTTTCTAATGAAGCAACATTTACCAATACTGGACATCTTAATAGACATAATATACACTATTGGTCATATGAGAATCTTCATTGAATGCGCGAGGTTCATTTTCAACATCGTTGGTCATTAAATGTATGGTGTGGAATAATTGGCGATTTCGTAATTGGATCATATTTTTTTGGTGGTACTGTTAATACTGAATTCTATCGTAATCTATTAAGGAATCATCTTCCCTTACTTATAGAAGAATTACCACTTAATGTGAGAAGAAACATATGGTTTCAATAAGATGGTGCACCTCCTCATTTTTCCAGAGCAACGCGTACTCTTTTAAATGGGATATTTCGTGACAGGTAAATAGGTCAGCGAGGTCCTGTTCAATGGTCGCCTCGTTCATCTGATATTACACCTTTGGACTATTTTTTATGGGAGTATATCAAAGAGGAAGTCACATCTCAACCATTTACGACGAAAGAAAATTTAAAACGAAGAATACGTACAGCTTGCACTAAGGTGAATCCAGAAATGTTGTTTAGAGTTAGGCAAAGTTTTGTAAAAAGAATTAATAAGTGTTTAGATGTTAATGGTTAACAGTTCGAACATTTAATAAAATAAAAAAAACAGAAAACTATGAGTCTTATTTAATTTGTTATTAATTTCAATGCACTCTACATTACAGTTTAAATGTTTATAACTTTTAATAGGAGCATTTTCGAAAGAAATATTTCAGACAAAGTTTACTTGTTTTTCTCCGTAGAATCCAAATATGTAATATTTTACAGGGGGTCCCATTTGAAACTTTGAAGTTATCCCTCGTCCCTCTTCAAGGGAGGACGGGGGTGGATTTTTGTTTATGTAGTTTGAAAGGCCCCTCGAATATATGAAACTTTCTCATGAACAACTTTTTGATAGAACAAATATTTTTAGAGTTATTGGCTTGTAACACTTTACGTGGGCCACCCTATGTATATAGGATGTCCGGAAAATCGAGGTCAATACTTCGGAAAATGATTCAGACTCCAAAAAGAAGGAAAAAAAGCTACATAAACATAGATCCGAAAATAAGTCTTTTCCGAATTATAATTTTTATATTAAAAACAAACTGTAATTTATTTTTCATAATCGCAATCGTAATTTATTTCATAATGTTTTAATATAAATAACTACATTTCGGACTATTTTGGCGTTAACCAGAATGCACCACGTGGAGGTATAGTTCGCTTGGCATCTCTTTAGTAACGTAAGAAAAATTTAAAAATAAAGAAATAAAAAAAAGGATGTCAAGCAGAATATGCTTCTACATGGTGCATCCTGGTTTACGCCAAAATAGTAGTGTTCGAAATGTAGTTATTTATGTTAAAACACTATGAAATAAATTACGATTGTAATTATGAGAAATAAATAATAATTTTTTTTAAGATAAAAGTGATTATAACTCGGAAACGACTTATTTTCGGACCTATGTTTATACACCTATTTTTTCCTGTTTCTTTTTTGGTCCCGCGCGAATTACTACCCGAAGTATTAACCTCGATTTTCCAGACACCCTGTATATATATACATATATAGGGTGTTTCACAACTTTTGTCTGAATACTTTTTCGATTGGACCTTATTCTGCGAAGATAAAAGGGTGGAACGGATAGTCTGAAACACCCGGTATATAGTTAGCGTCACAAAAGCGTAGTCAGCAGTTTTCTGAAAAAAATCGAGTATATTAAAAATTAAATTTGCTCTGAAAATACGTTACGTTCACTAAAATACATTTAATTAGTTATAGCACTCAATCACCACTATTATTAATTAGCTTATCGTCGAGATATGTTTCCTATGAGATTTTTTCTTTTCCAATATGGATCTATAAAGAAGATATTTATATATATATATATTTGCTAAAGTTTTGGGTAAAAACCTTCAAATCTTTCGAATGTGCCAAAGATATCTAACTGCTTAAAAATAAATATTCGCGTTTCTCAAAGCTTCATTTTAATAATTGATATTTTTAATCGGATCTCGTCCGTGATTGAGAAGCCAATCCATCGATCTATGACATTCTTACATTTTATAAAATGTAAAAATTTTATAAAATTCATGTCTCGTGAAAAGCATGATGACAAGTTATAATTAATGATAATGATGCAGATTAGATGCCATAACTGAGTAAATGCACTTTAGTGAATGTATAATGTGCTTTAAAATATAACTTTAATTTTTAATATATACTCTTTTTTTCAGAAAACAGCTGACTATGCTGTTGCGCCACACATGCGCGCGCGCGTGTGCGTGTATGTGTGTGTACAATATATATATTCATACATATATACACACACGAATAGTTTACACAGCATTTATTTATTTATTATGAGATTTTATGTATTTCTTTTCCAGTATAGATCTATAAAGAAGATAGTTTTATATATCTATATATATATAAATTTGCAAAGTGTGTAATATCTTGGTAAAGAGCGTATAATCGGAACAAGTTGCCAATCTTTGCTTACTTCTCGATGAAGTTTATTTTCGTACGCAGGTCGATTCGCGCGTGCCGAGATTTGTATACCAAGTGTAACGAGCGGAATGATCACGCAACGACGATCGCGATTTGACTAACAAGACGAGAGACGCATGGCACGGCGACGTTGCCGCCATCACCATCACCGACGATGACAACGACGACGATGATGCTTCGGGAAACGTCGATTTCCCACCCGTTCGTTTAAAATGTGTTTACGCGCAGTCGAAGACGAGGAGAAGATGTCGCCTATATTACGTCGAGTTTATGCAGATGATCAAGTGATGCAGAGATGCGAATTGCCATGTCGCCGTGCTGAAACGCGACGTAAATTTTCGGTCCAGTGGTGTAATTCCGTCGTGAAAATAAGCAATTCTTCATTAATTTCGGTTTTAGATAAATATTAGTATGATTTTGTTTGTTATTACTCAGATAATTGTAACAATCCATATGATGAGTTATGATTGCCATTAACGAAATTGATAAGAAAATGAAATAATTGATAAAATTTGAAAAGTGTGGAAACATGGATATAATCTGAGAAACTAAAGATAGCAGTAAAATACTTATTTTCAATTTCTCCATAGCTTACATTTGAAAATGAAGGTTGTAAAAATAATATTAATAAAATAAATGATAATTACGAAACATGTTTACAAAATTAATAAACGCTGTTTGTATTCATTAGAGTGAATCTTATGAATTTAGAGAACAAATAACTGAAAGTTATGACAATTTATGATTGCATAATTGTTCATGCACGTTACTTTCTTTACAATACAATATCTTCTTGTTAATTGTCTTCAAAAAAGAATTCAGAAGCTGTGCCATCACTGTTTTGAAATAAACGTTAATAAAAGTATTCTTGCTCTTCCTAACAATAGAATTACTGAAACAGTCAAAATAATTAGTTTCTAAGTTTCTATATCAAATCTATAACGTGCATTTTTAAAAACTTTTAATGATTTTCATTGCAATATGTAAATAATTAAATTGATCAATTAAAATATAAATAGACATTTTATGAATATTCATTATGATATTTATTATAACATTAAAAAAATGAATAAAATGATCTTATATTAATACACCCATTATTTTTATGAATGTCACACAAGGCCATGTGAAGAAAAATTGCTCCCAGGGGCTTGTGGTCATCGAGCGTTCTTCTCTCACCTCTATAGCATTTCTAACGACCTTTTTTCCATGGAATTAGTAGTTTCATTACCTATATACTTGCGTTACCCCTATTTTCATTACCAATATTCATATTGCACATTTCATGTTTAATACAGAAATATTTTTATATAAACTCTCGATACGAGAAGCGCCTATTTACACGATCAAAGTTAGATATTAAACTCTAATACATGTATATGTAACTCCAAGAAATTCATTTTAAAAATATAAATACGCACCGATTATTTCCGGATTTTCAACACAATCAATCCTGAAATATAATAATACACCACATTTAATTAAAGTACAATAATTTAAAGTTTAAAGCTTGTAAAGAACTTACTGCAAAACATATTATATCGGGATACATTTTTGATATTCATTTAAAATATACACATATTTATATATGTATTACCTTCTAACTTTGATTGTAAGTGATGCTTCTTATATTGCATTGATGTATTTATATGAACGATCTTATTCAAGCCTAGCTATGGCAAGCCGTTCTACTTTTTAATAGCATAAAAGAAATTTTGTCTAATGTTAAATTCTTAAAAAATAATTGTCTAAAAAAAATTACAATTTTTAGTAATGAATTAAAATTATGTTATGACATAATACTATTTCCATGAACTAAAATTATGTCAAAATATAATAAAAATACGGAAATAGTTTTATTATGTCGCAACATAGTTTTAATTCGTCGAATTATTATGTCACGACATAATTTTAATGTATCAAATTTTTATTATGTGGCGACATAATTTTAACTTAACGACCGAGTAAAAATTTTTTATGTATAATCATACATAAACATATATAATTATATATAACTTATATGTAATTGTATCTGATCATATATGATTTGACATATGTTCATATATAATTGTATGTGATTCGATACATGATCATATATGATTTCATATATGATCACATGAAGACATCGTAATCATACATATGTATTCATATATAATTTCATATATGAACATATATGATAAGATATGCGATCATATTTGATTTCATATATAATCACATATAATTTCATATATGATCACATGAAGGTACTGTAATCATGTATGTTCAGATATCTGAGTGATTCGTCGTCGTACACGGACGTGTATTTAAAAATGTGTGATTTGTATAACCGAATTTAACATCTATTTTTTAAGTCAAATTATGTAACAAAACTTCATGACACGCTTCCGTGATGATTAACAACGCTTCATCTTTGTCAATTGGAAAATGACTTAAGCATTATGAACATGTGAGCTATTTATTCTTGTAATTTTTTTTGCTGAGGAGGACTCCAAAGAGAATTGAAACGTTCAAATAAAGAAGACATTAATCCAATTTCTGAATATTGATTTTCACTCAATAATTGCGCCGATCGTTGCTGACTCTCATTAGCCTACTCTATCTATTTTTATATTGTTTAAAACTCTGTTAAAAACTGTTATAATTATTATTATTGCATATATGTTGACATATAATTTCATATATGATCACATGATGGCATTGTGTAATCATATATGTTCACATATATTTTTATATGTGAACATATACATATATATATATATATAAGATGTATCATCATATCCGATTTCACATACGATCATATATGTGTGTGGTCTCATGATCAAATATGAAATCATAAATATATATATAAATTATTATGTATATATTATAAAATCAGATATGATTATATGTGATTCCATATATGATCATGTGTGAAATCTTATGTAATTGCAGTCTCGAGAGATCGTCCGTAGTCGTGACGGACATGTTTCGTCTCGCTGCGATCTGAGTGTTGCATGTTTTATTTTTGAGCGTAAGTGTAACCGTGTTTGACTATGCTATTTGTGTTTTTGTTCTAGTGTTTTCCTTCCCCAATCTATCCCATTCTTGTTGCCGTTCTTTCCGTCGAGAAGTGATTGTCCTTAGCACTGATACTTGTCAGCACGAGGCTGACAGATTTTCTAACCTCAATAGTCGTAAGATTAATATCTCAGGCTCACGGCGCAGAATGACGCATTTTTCTGCCAGATTCCTTCGTTTTATGAAAAAACACATCAAGTAAGCCTAATTTTATTGATTTTTCGTGTAAAAATGAAGATTTGACAAGAAAAAAGGGTAATATTTTGTCTCGCTGCTATCTCAAAAATCAATGAGATTAGGCTTACTTGATGTGGTTTTGCATAAAACGAAAGAATCTGGCAGAAAAAAGCGTTACTCTGCCCCGCGAGCCTGAGATATTAATCATTAAAATTTACGACTATTCAGGTTAGAAAATCTGTCAGCCACGAAATACTGCGATGCGAACAAACGTTGCGGTCATATTTTCATCATGTGAGGCGCGAGCCTGGATCTGTCGTGGGCTACGTTAGACTATTTAATAAATTTTACTGCGAATTCTAAGTTATTTCCATACCAGGTCCATATCAAGCGCAAGACTAGGCCTCTTATTCGGACTATGTCAGATTTTTTTAAGGTTTATGGCGTGGCAAAGCAGTGGCAAAGTATCGTGGCGCTCGCCAGTATCGTGGCACTGACGTTGTCTATATATATATATATATAATATATATAATTAAATTGAAAATTTTGATATATTTCATTAATTTTTTTGATGCGATAAAAAAATAATTGTTTCGTCCCTGCACAGCCTCTGAAGTATTATCGTCACTGTATATATATAGAATGTTGCGCGCATATATTATGCATATGTTATGCTATATCCTTACTATATATATGATATGTATATTATTGAAATGACGTTCACGCGACATCCCTTGGATAAGTTATAATAATATACATATATATATATATATACATATAAGTCGTAGACGTGTATATAATTATATACCAGCTAGGATGGTTAGAAAGTCTGGAAACAGTCGAATATCTGGAAAACTATAAGAAATATATTTCATACGAAAGCTGATGTATTTAGATCAGTTTTATAAGTGGTATATTAGGTAGAAATGTTAGTTGTCAAGGAAACTTAGAAATACACTTCAAAATTTTTAATTAGAAACCTTCATTTTTCATTGTATTCTTGATAATAAGCAATCAGAAAATGCAATGAAAAATGTAGGTTAATCCATTTAAATATTTCGAAGTGACTTTTACGTTTATATCTTTAACAACAATATTTAACACTAACATTTCTATCTAATGTGCGCTACGTAAAATCCTACATCTTTTGTACGAAACATTTTTCTCAAAAAATGCTTTCTTTTCCTGATATTCGACCGTTTCGGATTTTCTGATCACCTCATATATAGTCATACATGGTCATATGTAGTCATATACAATCATACATGTTCGTATAGCGGCATATGTAGTCATATACGGACATATGTGGTCATATATAATCATATATAATTGTACAAAAAAATTTTTACTCGGGGGGGATCTAATAAAAAGAGAAATTTTTCCTGCTTAAATATACAGATATTAGTAATATATGTACATATACAGTATTACAATAGAATATTGCATGTATGTGTATTATGATGTGTGAATATACGCATCAATAAAAAAATAAAAATTATTTTACTGAGATATTCATGCAGATATTCCCTATGTTTATTTATAAGCAATATTACAATTACATTTTATGTGTGTACATACATATATATACGTATATATATACATACATATAGTACACATGAAATTTTAATATTGCGTACAATAAACAAAGAAATCTGCATAAATATCTCAACACAAATAACTTCTATTTCTAACGAGTGTATATTCAAACATTATAATACTCATACATACAATATTATAATATTGTATACACACACACACACACACACATATGTACTATTATATATTTATACATATTTACATATTATATATTATACATATGTCACTATTATATATTTGAGCATGCAAACTTTATCTTTTTAGAAAAAGAGGTGAAGCAGCTACACGTACGGACAGTATATATTGATACACGGTAGTAGTGGTACTTTTCCGACTCAATGTCATTTTAGGTTATATAATGTGTCAATACATGAATACATGTATTCATGTTATTCATGTATTCAATA